GAATCAACACAAAACCAGTTTCTGAGGCAGAGCTAGAGATGTTTCAAATGTTGAACTTCTCCAGCCTTCTTTACCACTTCATTATCTATAACGCCAACTACTTGTCTTCCCTTCAGTCCTCTTCCTCCTGTCTTTGAGTTGGTTATTCACTTCAATGTCTCAAGAACTAACTGTCCTTACAATAGTTGCATGATTTAATAGGGAAATAACAGGTTACAGTATCTACTTGGAAGTACAATGAACAACTCAGGATACAGTCCTTTGCTCAGGATAATGTCCTTTTAGTTGATACTGTTGGGTCCTACTCCTACCATTTCACAACACACTATCACTTTTACTGGCATTGCAGCGTCTCTTGTGCTCTTCAGTGTTACAGCTCCTTCTCTCTCCATGTCTCCCTTTAAAACATCTGTTAGGGAAGCTGGTTATATAGCCAGCTCATTATCAGTTTCAAGGTGTGTCCTCCCCACCTCCAGCAAAACAAAATAAACTAACTAACTGTCTTGTTGTTGTTGTTGTGAAATGCTGTTGACTCAATTCCAACCTATAGCAACCCTTGTATAGGGTTTCTGAGGAGAGACTGGTGAGCTTGAACTGCCAACCTTATGGTTCAAAGTGATTTTGCAGTCCAGTGCATTAACACACAGTGCCACACACCAGGATTCCAACTAACTGTCTTAGGTTGGATTTTATACAGAAGCAAAACCAGTAGAACACAGATATGTGTATATATATATACATATATGTTTGTTATCTTACAATTGTAGAGCCCCAGATCCCCAGCAGAAGAGAGAGAGTCCCTCCCACGTGTCCATTATATTGGGAGCAGGTCACACCCCCAAGGAAGCATTCTGTCAATTGATTGGCTACTCATAGTCGTTCATCATTGAGTTAACTATGCCTGTATTAGAGTTTATCACCATGGGAATAAGCACCTCCCAACTGCTAAACCTCTGGAAATCCTTGCCACAGAACCCTAATGATTACAATCTGCTCTTGTTAACTCAAAACCTATAAACAATATGCATAATCTCTAAATAAAGAAAACTGTAAAACCATACTTGAGCCTACATGATATAATGAAAACACATACAACCAAAAATGCACTGGCCTCATTTACATCTTATAAGTTACATATGAACAAAGCAAAAATATTCAATGCACACATATAAAACAAAACAAAAAAAATATATTCATTGAAATGTCCAAAGGGCACATTCTGAAAGCCAGCCTCCTGCCCCTAGGCCCACAGCCTCACTGAGTCCATGGGCCCAGAGTCCATAGCTGCTCTGTTTTTCCATGTCACTGCCTGTGCTGCCATCTCTGCTGTCATCACTTTTCCAAGCGTGATCCGATTTTCCATGCATGCTCTTCCTTAATGATGGTCCTAGGATTGTCTGTTCCTGAAATAAAAGACAACAACTCTCCGCTTTTAGTTACAAATCTTCTATAATTACAGTTTTGATGATCACAATCAATCCTACTGAAAATCACTCACAATTGAAATCATTAAATCCTATCAGTATCATCCACTACCTGCTTTCACCAAACCCATCTGGAAAAGAGGAAAACTAGTCAGTGCCAATTCTACCAGATCCCCTCATTCTAAAACTAAGCATACCTATGAAAACTTGCAAGCCAGCCACTTCGTGCCTTTATAGTTCCCTATTTTTGATACTCAATGTCTAAATTGCCCATCCCTATCAACACTCATGGAAGCAGCAGTCAAGAAATCAAATGACATATTGCATTAGGCAAATCTGTTGCACAAGACCTTTTTAAAGTGTTGAAGAGCAAAGATGTCAGCTTGAGGACTAAGTTGCACCTTACCCAAGCCATGGTATTTTCAATAACCTCATATGCATGTGAAAACTGGACAGTGAATAAGGAAGACCATAGAAGAATTGATGCTTTTGAGTTATGGTGTTGAAGGAGAATATTGAAAGTGCCTTGGGCTGCCAAAAGAACCAACAGATCTGTGTGTTGGACGAAGTGCAGCCAGAGTGCTCCTTGGAGGCCAGGATGGCCAAACATCGTCTCTCATACTTTGGACATATTGTCAGGAGGGACCAGTCACTGGAGAAGGATATCATGTTTGGTAGAGTGGAGGGTCAGAGAAAAAGAGGAAGAACCCCATTGAGACTGATTGGCAAAGTGGCAGCATCAATGGGCTCAAGCATAGCAACAATTGTGAGGTTGGCCCAGGACCGGTCAGTGTTTCGGTCTGTTGTTCATAAAGTTGCTATGAGTCGGTACCAACTCAATGGCACCTGACAACAACAACAATCAACCCAGTGCCACCATTTGTCTGTCAGTTTGTCACATTGTGGTAGTTTGCATGTTACTGTGATTCTGGAAGCTATGCCATGGGTATTTTAAATATCAGCATGGTCACCCACAGTGGAAAGGTTTCAGCTGCGATTCTAGACTAAGACAAACTAGGAAGAAGGAGAGACAGACTATTTCCAAGTATTTCATCACTGACAACCTTATGAATAACAGTGGAACACTGTCAGCACCAGAATTTTGAATATTGAAACATAATATAAAGAGCACCAGAACACTATCAGATATAGTGCTAGAAGATGAGTCCCTCAGGTTGGAAGGCACTCAAAATACGATTAGCAAAGAGCTGCCTCCTCAAAGTAGAGTTGACAGTGATGATGCGAATGGAGTAAAGCCCTCGGGACCTTCATTTGCTGATGGGGCACAACTCAAAATAAAGAGAAACAGCTGTAAACATCCATTAATAATCATAACATGGAATGTATGAAGTATGAGTCTAAGAAAATTGGAAATTGTCAAAAATGAAATGGAATGCATAAACATCAATATCCTAGGCATTAGTGAGCTGAAATGGACTGATACGGGCCATTTTGAGTCTGACGATAACATGGCTTCCTATGCTGGGAATGACAAATTTAAGAGGAATGGTACCACATTCATCATCAAAAAACATATCTAGATCTGTCTTAAAGTACAACACTGTCTGTGATAAGATAATATTCATACACCTTCAAGCATGACCAGTTAGTGCCTCTATTATTCAAATGTATGCACCAACCAGTAAAGCCAGTGTCAATGAAATTGAAGAATTCTACCAACTTCTTCAGTCTGAAATTGATCAAACATGCAATCAAGTTGTACTGATAACTACCTGTGATTGGAATGCAAAGGTTAGAAACAAAGAGGAAGGATCAATACTTGGAAAAGATGGTCTTGGTGTTAGAAACGATGCTGGAGATCCCATGATAGAATTTTGCAAGACTTCATTGCAAATACCTTTAAAAAAACAACATAAAAGAAGACTATACACATGAACCTCGTCAGATGGAATCCACTGAAATAAAATAGACTACATCTGTGGAAAGAGAGTGTGGAAAACTCCATATTATCAGCCAAAACAAGGCCAGGGGAAGACCATAGAACAGGTAGAGTAAGAAAGATGTGGGATCAGGAGCAGGAAAAGCAGAAGGCAGAGATGATAAGTGATGAGGGAGACAAGAAGAAATGGAGACACTTGGAAATGATGTGTGGAGGAAGGATGAGGTAATCACTTGGGAAGACTGAAAGAAAGAATGCTGGGGTGAGGTGAGGGCCTGAGGACTGATTCAAAGGTCCACACTCCAGGTGTGGGGCTATAGGATCAGCACTGGACTGTGAACCACAAAATTGGTTCAAACCCACCAGCTACTCCTTGGAAACCCGATACAGTGTCGCTGTGATGGCACTTAACGATAACAATTAGTGAGTCCAGGAATCCTGGTGTGGTGCTGTAGGATAAGCACTAGACCACAAGGTTGATGGTTCAAACCCACAAGACACTTCTTTGAAACCTTAATAACAGGGTTGCTATGCGGTGGAACTGACTCCATGGCACTTAACAATAACAACAAGTGATCAGAATGTGGGGACCCGAAGTGGGGAATGTTGGGGAGCCATGCCTGGAAGCCTAAGTCTGTTGGAAGGATGAGCCAGGAAGGACAAGGAATAGAGGAGACGAGTGCTGGATGGTATTTCGGGAAGTGGGACCCTAAAGAAGGCTGCGGAGGCAGGAAATTCTAAGGACTTGGGACCAGGTTATTAGGTGAGGAGACTGAAGAAAAAGGGAAAGAGCAAAGGGTGAGGATGAAAGTAGGAAAGGACAAAGAGCATTTAGAGCAGAAACCATGAATCTCGGCAGATGAAAAGGCGGAGTAGAGTCTGGAGTGGGCGTCCCCCAACTCTGGCTCCACAGCGTCCCAGGCGCACCTGTGGTGTTGGGGAAACGAAAAAGGGCATCCTGGTCCCTAAAGGAAATCGAGTTGGGAGGGACTGACTCTGAGTTTGGGATTCCCGAGAAGCACAGCTTCCTGGCTACTTGCGGTCAAAGCCAGACAAGTGAAGGGGCGTGACTCTGATGCTCAGGTTTCTTCCTCTTTACCTGGGCAAGGAAGGGTAGGGGCCAGGACTTCCGGTTCAGGTGAGTGTCCCTTCGGTGACGTCAGGTCACCCTCGGCCGCCCCTCTGGTCCCGCCTCTCCCCTCCTGCGCGCTCCGTGGTTCGCGGGGGTGCGCCCCCGACGCCCTACATATACCTGAAGCCGCACCTGTCCTCCTGCACCTGCTTGCCAACCGCAGAGGATCCTCTAACTAGCACCTTAGCCTCGGGCCGCAGCCCAGGGGGTCATTTGGGGCGTGCCAGCAACCGGGACCGCGTCCATACCACCCCTCCACTTTGTTTAGGTACGGTCACCCGGACGGCGCCGAAGGGAACCGGCGGGTCTTGACGGATCGCTTTTGTTTGGAGTCATTCCTCCGGGTGTAACCTGTCCCCCGCAGAGGGGTAGATTTGTGTTCACTTTGGGTGAGAAGAAGACTTGCAGTCACCGACCAAAAAACTTTTTGGTTTCTTTGGGTGACTTAAAACTACCCAGACTTGTTTTTGTGTGAGGTTGCTCCACAAATTTTTGTTTACTGTAGGGTCGCCCTCCTGGAATCCACTCTTTTCTGAGGGCGGAAATGGCCAATTCGGGCCTGCAGCTTCTGGGCTTTTCCATGGCCCTGCTGGGCTGGGTGGGCCTGGTGGCCTGCACCGCCATCCCGCAGTGGCAGATGAGTTCGTACGCGGGCGACAACATCATCACGGCCCAGGCCACGTACAAGGGGCTGTGGATGGAGTGTTTGACGCAGAGCACTGGCTTGATGAGCTGCAAAATTTACGACTCGGTGCTCGCCCTTCCAGGTAAAGGCCACTGGACCGACAGGGCGGACGCGCCCACGGTCGTCGAAGTTGGGGGTGGAGTGCCCGACTGGGGTCGTCGGGGAGCGGGCTGGGCGCCGGGGAGGCGGAAGCGGCCGGCTCGGAGAGGGGGCCTGGTGGGAGCGGGCCGGTGTCCGGCGGCCGCACGTGGGCCGTATCCGCTGCCAGGGTTTTCCTCTCGGCTGCTACTTGCAGCCAGCGCCTTGTGGGGGCGCGCGGTTCAGACTTCTCCCCCGCTGCCGCAACCTGGCGTTGGTCTCTGCCATCTCCCGCCCTTTTTTCTCGGACAAAAGCGGGGATGGGTCGAGGGTTGGGGAGTCGAGAGATCTGGTAGGCCTAGGCCGCCGCTTGCGGCCTCTAATCTTATCAGCCGATTAGCCAAAGCCACAAACCCGGTGGCTTCGATAGCGGGCTCCGAGCTGGGCCGCGAGTCAGGACTTGCTTCGGTGCGCGGGCTTCAGTTGAAGCCCATCTCCTTCTGGAGGCCCCCGTTCACCCTTCCCCCACCCCGGAGCAGTTTCATCGAAACCCTGGTGCCCCGGGCGGCTCCCTAAGCAGAGAGGGCGGGGCAGGAGCCGGAAGGCTGGGGCTCCGGGCAGGGCAGGATCCAGCCTTCTGTGTCACCGAGGGAAAACCGTGTGCCGGGCAGACGTGGGTCCAGGGGTTATTGGGCGCGGCTGGCAGCGCGAAGGCTGAAGTGTACGGGCCACCAGCATCACTAGAAATGACGGCGTCCCTCCCCCTTCTCTGCAGCGGCTTTGCAGGCCACTCGTGCTCTAATGGTAGTATCGCTGGTGCTGAGCTTCTTTGCTATGTTTGTGGCCACGATGGGCATGAAGTGCACACGCTGTGGAGGAGACGACAAAGTAAAGAAAGCCCGTATAGCAATGACCGGAGGCATCATTTTTATTGTGGCAGGTGAGCCACAGGAAAAGACCCACCTCTCCCCTATCCCAGAGGGGCAAGGGTGAGCCAAGTGCTGGGCTGGGGGCTCACTACACCTGAATCTCCATTCTCTCCCCAGGTCTGACTGCTTTGGTAGCTTGCTCCTGGTATGGCCATCAGATTGTCTCAGACTTTTATAACCCCTTGGTTCCCGTGAATTTTAAGTAAGTCTGCAAGTCCTGCCTCCTAAAGGGGCAGGATTGGGTCCTGGGGTCTGGAGGAGGGCAGAAGCAGGCAGGGTTTCTAACCCAAGTTCCTTCTCTTCACAGGTTCGAGTTTGGTCCTGCCATTTTTATTGGCTGGGCGGGGTCCGCTCTGGTGCTTCTGGGGGGTGCACTGCTCTCTTGCTCCTGTCCTGGCAGTGAGAGCACAACTGGGTACCGGGCACCCCGCGCCTACTCTAAACCCAGCTCTGCCAAAGAGTATGTGTGAACTGGAACCTCTTTGCCATAGTCTGACAGTCAAGAGAGCTCAGCCTGTGAACAGAGGGTCTACATAGCAAAGGCCTCCTGGTCAGCCCAGTTCCGCTGCATACCATGTAGTCCTCTGGGCAGTTGGGTGGGGAAAACTGAAATAGGGGTGTGCTTTTTGTACAGTAATAAAAAAATATTTTGGAAAATAGGCTTCTTTTTTTCCCCTTCTGGGCCTCTTATTCCAGCTCAGGTCCTAGCAGAGAACCTGGAGCGTATGTGTACCTACTTATTGCTCAGTTCAAAGTCACTTAATTGGTACAACAGACTTAGATAGACTGAGAACAAAACTCAAAAAAAAAATAAATACTGGACTTATTGATCTGTTATTCCGAGGCTGGTGGAATCCCAGAGTATGGCCTTTAGACACGCTTCAGGCCTAGAACCAAACTCATACCTATGGTTCAACTTTCACACAAATGATATATAGGCCTAGAAGGTCAATAATATACCAGGGAGGTAAGCACACTCTTTAGAACAATCATCCATAGGGAATCAAAAGGACAGCACTTGCTTAAAGTTCAGAAGGCAGGAGGACAGTGGCACGAGCACAGTTACACTACAGGGCTTGCAGTCGGTGTGTATGAATTATTGAATGGAAAGCCAATGTGCTCTGTAAACTTTAACAAAATCACAGTAAAAATGAAACAACACTTATTGGGAACCAATGATGTACATCTGTTCCTGCCCTTCCCCTTTTCATTTTTGTTAATTCAGGCCCCAACACCTTTGTTATTGACTACAGACCCAGGGACTCCAATTTTCTTCCCCCCCCCCTTTCTTAAATACCTGAGTTTTCAAATAAAAAGTTACTTTATTAGGCATGAGGGAGGCTCCTGTTCTCTCACCTTGCCCCAAGCCCCCATCCCATTTTCTGCCCTGATTGGCCCCTCCTCCCTGGCTCAGGGGTCACCAGGCAGGGCTTTCAGACATAGGAAACAAAAGTGGAACAGGGGCCAGGCCAGCACCAACAATGGAAGCATGATAGTTCTTAACCCAGGTTTTTCCCCTCCCATTCCAATTGCAGTCTATCCAAATCTCCTGGCCAGTCAGATATCTAGGTCATCGTCTGGGTCTTCTTGGTCCAAGTCATCATAAGCATCTGGCTCATAGAAGATGTGGCTTGTGGCCTGGCCCGGCCCAGGGTGTAGTAGAGCCTGCTGTCTGAGAAGGGGTAAGGGAGAAAGTGACATTGGTGAGAATCGGTTACAAGTTTGTTTTTGGATACTACTCTTCTGGTGACTGACTCACTTGGGCAAGTCTGCATGTTGTTTTCTTGGCTCAAGGTCACCTATCCTTCTCTAATTTCCATGTTTGGTTAGTGTTGAAGTATCATTGGTACTTGGGTAGATACTTTCATACTATTCTCTAACAATATAAATTTTTAGCAGCTTGAGGGCAAGGATCTTGTCACAATTTTACCACCTACACACAGCATGAATTTACAAGCCCTTGTTAAACTACCTTTGCCACACCCATTTAGTTTCCTGACTTCCTAGCACTGTTGCCTGGAGATTGGGCCACCTCCCCAGGGTCTGGTCAGGATCAGCTCAGGCCCAGATTGTTTTGGGGACAACTGTTGAGCTGGGACCCAAAGCTCTAAAAGAGAAACAAAGATACACAAAGGTCCTTTACCATGGTGGGGACAGGTGAGTAGAGAACCACACCCAGATTGGTATCTGGAGGTGGACTTCAGCCCTTATAAAAGTCTTACAAGGTTAAACAATAACATGCAGTCAAACCCCACCCCACCCTGGCCCAGATGTTGGGCTCAACTGGGGACCTGGACACAAGCTCCAATCTTACTTTTCAGAGCTGAACTGGAAGGGCAAGGTCAGGCTATCTTTGGCTTCTCTTTCTTTCTTGGACAGCCGAAGATTAAAGGTTAAATGAGTTGTAGGATCCACCTGCAGGTAACAAAGGATGCTGCCACTTAGCAGCAACTCTGAAATCCCAGCCCCTTCCCCAAAGTCTGTATATTTTATTCTTCCCTTTCCCCTTCACTAGATGCCAAGCTTCATTCATTTATTCGATACCTGGGTGATGGGAGGGTCTGGGTGTGACTCTTGGGCAGGCACCTGTTGGAGATTCAAGCTGAAGTCAGGCAGGATGGAGAACCACCGAGTCTAAGTAGAAAAAAGAAAAAAAGTTTTAAAAGTTTTTTTTCAACAGAGAACAACTCAAGCCCTAACACCCCCAGGCCCTAATTCTGTAGCTGGCTGCTTTCATCCCTTGCCTCAATTTCTATTTTCTCCTTCAAGTCTCTCTCTACATGGACTTGTCCCTTCCTCCCCCTAGTAACACACTCCTGTCTTTTGTCCTTTACCACTTCCTGAGAGATCTTTCTGTGGTTAAACGCACAGGCTATGAGTCATCAAGTAATCCTGAGTTCAGATCTTTGTTATTACACTTACTCTCTGTAACTTTGGGTAACTTCAATTTAAACCTCCTTGAGTTTGTTTCCCCAACTGTAAAATGGGATTAATAATCTACCTCACAAAAGAGCTATGGAAATTAAATGAGATGAACGATGAAAACCACAATCATACCTGGTTTCTTACTACCCTTCCCATCATGATTCCCCTTTGACCTTATTCTCCAGTCCTCTCAATGTGTCTCCTGACCTGATGGGTTGGGCGCTGTTGGGGCTTCCGAAGGAGGATGTGGGCTGACATCTGGCCCAACATACCACTCAAGGTCACCTCAGTCTGAGCAAGGCTGCATAGTGCACCCACAGGCCCTGGGCCATGAAGCTCTTCATGTAGCAGGCCCAGCACATGCACCTTCTTCACTGGGGAGTTGTCATCTGGAAGGGAACAAGAGATGTAGGGCTTGGGATGAAACAGTGAAGAGGAGATACCCCCATTCCATCGCACCTCTGCCATAATCCTGATCTACCTTGGCTAAATTCACTCTTTTCTCTGAGCCTTGTTCAGCCTTCCTTTGATACACTTTATGTGAAGTATAATGTCCATACAGTGTATGACCAAGGCACCAATAGGACTTCAATCCTTTAGTGGCTCTTTCTGGTTTTCATCTGGTCTCTGCTTACTTTCCAGCCTCATCTTATGATTTGCAGGTTTTGGACCTTGCCAAGATTTCAGTCTATTATCTTTGATTTTCTTCTTTTTGGAGTGTCAGGCACTGCACTTTAATAAAGCATTTTAATTACATAAAGGGCAGCATTTTTTGGTTGAGTCATAAGAAACTGCTGACAGACTTGCAAAAATGGCAATTTCAAGTGGTTCATCCTAACTGTTGTGCTATCAACCCCATGTACTAAAGAACCAAACACTGCTTGGGCCTGTGCCATCCGTACAATCCTTGCTGTGTTTGAGCTCATTGTTACAGCCATTGTGCTAATCCACCTCCCTGAGGGCTGTCTTCTTTTTTATGCTAACCCTCTACTTTTCCTTCTCCGGGGACTAGTCCCAGCTGATAACATGCTCAAAGTACGTGACATGCAATCTCCCCCTCACTTTGAGAGCATATTCTGGACTTCTTCAAAGAAAAATTCTTTTATTCTTCTGGCAGCTTATTGGCGTATTCAATATTCTTCACCAGCACAATAACTCAAAGGCATCAAGTCTTCTTTGACCCTCCTTATTGTCTAGCTTTTCCATGTACATGAGCAAGTGAAAATACCGTGGCTTGGGTCAGGTACACTTTAGTCCTCAAAGTGACATCTTTTCTTTTTAACACTTCAAAGAGATCATGTGCATATTTGTTCAATGCAGTATATTGATTTCCTATAACATCACCCTCATTTTATAGAGAGTGATGGCATAGGAATTGTGAAAGATTCAGAGATCTAGCAATTCAATACTTTCGTACTCACAAGGCTCTTTAGGGTTTGTCTCCAGCATCTCTGCCAAGGCAAACTTGCCTGGCTGATTCTTCAAGGCAATGTTTCCCTGAGGTACCCAGTATGTCCACCCTCATGGCCCTTATCAGACTGTCTTGTAACTGCCTGTTTACTTGTCTCCATCCATTATGGGACTTTGAGCTCCTGGGAGGCAAGGATTCAACTACAAAGTTAGTGTTTCTTTCCCCATTATCTAGAATAGCACTGGACATGGCTGTACATACTTAATGTTTCTTGAGTGACTGACTGAATGAATGAAACAAAAAACTTGTAAGGAAAATTTTTTAAAAAGCAATTGATAACTAACAATATTATTGTTGTTAAGTTGGTTCTAACTCACAGCAACCTTGTCTAGGGTTTCTGAGGCTGTAAATCTCTGTGGGAGCAGAAAATTTCATTTTTCTCCCACGGAAACGCTGGTGGGCTCAAATCACTGACCTGTAGTTTGCAGTACAGTACTTATCCTCTAGAGCTACTGCACTCCCAAATAACACATTACGATGAAGTCAAGAATGAGAAAATTCGGTTAAAGAGGGAGAAGCCACACAATGTGTAAGAGATGAGGCTAGAAAGTAAGCAGAGACCAGGCGATCAAAGTGTCAAGACCATCGGTAAATTACGAGGAGCTACTGAAGAACTGAAATGAGAGTGGCGCCTTAATCAGATTTACATTTGAACAACTGGTAATCTCTGAAAGGGGTACATTCCTTGGCAGTGGAAGAGGAAGGAGGGGTCTTACCTGAGTGGGAGTCCTGCTGGCTCAGAGCATGCAGGGTCTGGCACAGTGTGGTGCAAGGGAGGTGAAGCAGCAGCCAGCTTAGCGAATCAAGCACAATGGTGACAGAACTAGGAGGTGTCCTTTTGGACAGGGCTCTCAAGACTTCCAAGGGCCCCCCAGGAAAGGCCTTTACATTCTTGGACCAGTTGAGAGGGTCTCTGAAAAAGTCATGGTAAATCAGTCTGCAAAGGGAAAAAGAGGAGATAACATTATATTTTTCCTTCTCCACTTCAAACTTTATCCTTAATCTTAATCTAAGACTTATAGAGCTACCAATCTATTGACATTTAGCAGTGCTTCATACATGTTAAATGCTTTCTTCTACCCCACATCAATCAACAAGTTCTGAAAATTCTCTCTCAGGTCCTTTTAGTGTTATCTTAAAGGCAGTGGAAGTCATTTGGAAATTTAAGAGCAGAATAATAAAATCATGCCCATTAGAAAGATTAGTCTAGTGAACACACTGTGGAGAATATTTGAAAAGGAGCAGCCTGGAAACAGAGCAACCAGATGGGAAAATTGTCATTCCTCAAGTGAACTTTAGGATAATACTAAACTCATTTTCATGTTCCATAAAAACCTTGTATGATCAGTTGGCTACTTATCTGTCTGATTTTAGTTATCTCAGGATGCTCTTTCACCTCCCTAATTTTGCAATAGGCTGTTCCTTCTGCCTCTGGGCCAACCTCCGCAGTAGTTTTCAGTCAGTGTTGCTTTGCCATTCATCTTGGATTAAGCACCACCAGATTCAGGCCAACTCATCTTTATCCTTATCCAATAAGATGCTGATGCTCTTTTATTATTCATTTCTCCTAAAGTCTATGGTCTCTTCTTTGTATTTCACAGATACAACTCCTCATCTTTTCTGTTAGCAATACTTTCCTGAAAGACCCTTATTTTTTCAATGAACACTTAAGTAGTGGTTACTATGTACTAGGTCCTGTTGTTGCTGTAAACTAAGTTCTTTGGCAACAGAGGTCCTAGATCCAATTACATTTCTTCCCATTTGCGCTTGTTGTTAGGTGACATCCAGCCAATTTCTGACTCACAGCGACCGTATGTGACTTACCGACAGTTAATATCGGAGTCAAAACCTTCACGAAACTCCTCCTCGCTCACTTCACAGCCCAGGATGTGGACTTGTTTCCCACTGAATCATAGATGAGGTCAAATGTCAAAAGGGTGGGGTCCAGGCTCCTTTCAAGAGTTGGGCAGGGAGAGGCTACAGAATACTCACCAGAGTGCAGATTTCTTGATAAGTGCCTTCAAGAGACTGCGCCCCTCCCATTCCACAGTGTCTAAGGGGAGGGACGGAAAAACAATATAAGAGTGCTGAGGATGTCTGCGCTTTCAGAAATCTGTAGCGATCTCCACCCCTATTCCTTGCCCGTTGGCCCTTCCTCTCTCTAGTGCCCCTTGAGCCAGCCCCAGAAATCCTGCGCCCTCCCTGCTCACCTCGAAGCAGTACCAGGCCCCCAAGAGCCAAGAGCGAATCCAACATCTTTGGTTTGGACTCCCATTCCGCGCTTCTTTGGGCGTCTTCTGATGGCGTCACGCTACCCCACCCTCTCCGCGTGAAAGGGGTGGAGTATTCATGATTTCTTCCCCGTAAAATCAGGCATAGAGATTGCGTTCAATATTCACAGGGTGGGGCTCACGCGGAAAGCTGCCTCCACAGCCCAGACGTACAGGTACAGCGACGACACCCTCTGTGTACATCTTCACCATGACTAGGGCCGGAACGGCAGTTGAGTCACATTGGTGAGAGAGGGGCGAAGCTGCACGCGCCCCGCCGACTTTCCGAATTTAGGAACAGTGACGTCACTCCACCCCGCCTTCCGAAAGCGGCTTCATTCCAGGCCCCGCCCCACCCATGCTCGGCGCGTGCGCATTAGTGCGAACTTGTTTCGCGCACACTCCGCCTCCTTTATCCCCACCCCCATTATCAAATACATTAGTTCGGCTGAAGTGGGCCCACGTCACAACCGGAAGTAATGTCAGAGGGGAAGAGGAGGGGGGGTGAAACAGAGGAGGAGGGAAGGCCTCTGGGCGGTAAAATGGCGCCCGTCAGAGTGGGAAATCCAGCTGCAGAGGCTGTGGCCCCGCTCCCTAGCGGCTAAGACACCCCTGATCTCGGGGAGGGGGAGGCCACTCTAGCCTAGCGCTCTGCGCCCTTTGGCCCCCCCTCCCCCTCCTTCCCCTTTATTTCGCTAGGCCGGCCCGTTTTCTGCGGCCCCGGCCCTTCGGGCTTCTGTCCCCGCCCGCCCTTTCCCGCGGGCAGCCCCCTAGCGCGCCTGCGCAGCGGGCCACCCTCCGTTTCCCCCTTTCCCCTCCCCCCTTTCCTTTCCCTACCCCCCTCCCCCCTCCCCCAATTCTCCATCCCCTTCCCTCCTGGTTTCGGAGGACCCCGTCCTACCCCTGTCTCGGTCCGCAACCTCTGCCAAGCCGTCGGTGCCGCTCTCCATCCATGTGGGCCACCGCGGGCTGCCCACGCCTGTCCCCCAGCACCCTACTCCGCTGGGCTTTCCCCTCGCTGGGGGTGGTTGTCTGAGCCGCCCGCTCCGTGTCCCTGTTTGCAGCCTCTCCTGCCACTCGGGGCCCCCGTACCCCCTCCCGGCGGCGGGGGGCTGCCCCCGGGGGGCTGGCGGAGCTGGGCCGCGGGGGCCCCGGGGCCGGCGGTGCCGGGGTCATCGGGATGATGCGGACGCAGTGTCTGCTGGGGCTGCGCACGTTCGTGGCCTTCGCCGCCAAGCTCTGGAGCTTCTTCATTTACCTTTTGCGGAGGCAGATCCGCACGGTGAGCCTGGGTGGTCGCTAGTGGCGGTGAGGGCCTTTGGTCACGGTGCCCACAGGCTTCAGAAAGTGGTGGGCCTCTGTTTGGGCCTAGGAAGAAAGCAGTCCTGTCGGGGCTTCTGCTAGAGAATTTGGCAGTCCTGAGCAGGATGGGGGTTGGGTGGGAAGGAGGGAGACCCCTGTAGTAGAGCACGGATCTGGGCGACTTAGATGGGCCTAGACGGGACAGGATTTGACAACTCTTGGGGGCTAAGGTGGTGGCTGGGGCGCTCTTTAAGAAAGCTCAAGTTATTGCTAAAGAAATCGAAAGGCGGGGAACACCTGTTTGATGGCAGCCAGAGCTGTTCTGGTGAATTTGTGAAAGACCCTTCTGTTGGGAATCTGTGTGCGGTCGTTTAACCAGGGCTAGAAAGTCTATGTGTCAAGGGTGGGGGTGGGTGAGAGGGCATATGTGACAAACCATGATGGCAACTTGGGAAAAGCCCTGGGCGTGAAGAAGAAACGCTAAAAACATCCTGGAACTTATCAGATAGAATGAGTGTGGGCATCTGTATTTATTGAGACCCGCAGACTGTACAAGATGCTTGTATGGGTGGTCTTATCTAGTTGTGGGAGGAAGCACATTAAAGTTTGGGTGTACCTAAGAAAAGAAGCTGCTTGTCAGTTGTTGGAGAGAATCTGAGGACACAGTTGTTTCTTCAGGAGTGCAGACTGTGTATATTTAAGCATCTCTGTTCCCTCCCCCACATGTTTTCTCCAAGGTCAAAGCTCCTTTTAGGCTAACATCACTTAATGAATGTGTCCTTGTGGTCTCATCACCCCTGGGAGAATTCTCTGAAGTAATTGGGGGGAAAATTCAGTGAGCCTGGGGTACAGAGTTTCTCTTGTCTGTTCTCTTTAGCACAGCTCAATAGAAACTAAAAGAATAAAACCAGGTAGGGCCTGTCTATGTCCAGGGAATTTCCAGAAAGCCCTTTGTGGTAGTGGTGGTTGACTTGATTTTGGGGAAATGACCTAGCCTTTGATCCATTCCTTCCTTTACCAGTCTACTATTTCCACTGAGTTAGGATGAGAATTATTTTGGTTGGTCAAGGTTGTAGCAAGGGACTATTTCCCTAAATCAGAGATCAGAATGAGCCAAGAGGAATTGGGGATCAGAAGTACTATGGTGTATGTGGGGTAGCTTCTGGGGTTTTCTTCCTGTGCGAGTTCTTGGCCTCTCTGCTTGACCTTGTCCTGAGCAGTCCCTTTGGTAGCCCCACTTTCTCTCTCAACACATCAGTTTTCTGCTCAAGGTGTGGAGAGTGCTGCTTGTTCCAAAGTAGCACTAACCTTTGGGCAGCACTAACCTCACAGCCATTTGTCTCCCCTTCCCTTCCAGTCTGCTTGCTGCCCCCACCCGCTTTCTGGCAGATGCTTGGAGCATTCCCTGCATGCCCAGCATGTGCAACCTGAGAGCGAAGAACAGGACACCCGAGCTGTTTCTGCCTTTAACACAGCCTAGGGAGAAAAGAAGGGCAGATGCCTTGGGATTAGGAGAGACGGCCCTTTGGTCTGCAAGCAGGGAGCCTGTTTCTGGTCAGGCTTGGGGCCTAGAGGTGTACAGATGGGCATTTGCCTGTGCCCGAGAAGGAAAAAGCAGAGGAGGAGGGAATTGTCAGGTTCGTATGGGGATCTAGAGCTAGGTGTTAGGAAATAGGAGCCCCAAGGGAAGGCTTGGAGAAGCAGCGAAGTAAGACCAAGGTGGTGACATCCTGGTCCCTTCTCTACTTCTCACTCAGCCCTTACATCACCCTGATCTCCTCCATACCCTTGGCCTGGCAAGTGGGACTTTCCAATGTTCTCTGTCTTGCCCTGGCTACCTGGAAAAGAAGCTGTTCAAAGGGCGGAGGTTCTTTGCAACTTGTGACTTGGCTAGTACATACAGAAGTGGACAGGTGGTTGGTTAAAATAGGCCTAGTGGCCCCTAGCCAGAGGAACTTAGCTGACCTGACAACCTCTGGATTCCCTCATCCTCCGTTCTCCTCAGGGATCCAAGGTCTCCCCTCCTGACCCCTACTCCCTTGTCCACTGAGAAATTTGAAGCTCTCTGTTCCCAATTTGAGAGATTGGGAGTTGATACAAAGAATCCTCAGAGAAGGAGTAAGGATAGTGTGTTTCTTTGTTCAGTGTTGAAGGATAATATGGTTATGAGGGCAGGTTCTGGGTCAGACTTTGTGGGTATAATCTTGGCTCCCCCACTTCATTGATTTTATTAATACCACCCCTGCTACGCTGTTCTTGTTAGCTGCTGTCAGTCCATTCTGACTTATGGTGACCCTATGTTTGCACAGTAGAACTTCTCCATAGGGTTTTGAAGGCTGTGATCTTCTGGAAGCCCAACACTTAACTGTTTGCACCATCCAGGGATACTGTTCTAGACACTGAGAGTACAGTCAGGATCAAGATCGTAATCAAATTCCATGTTTTTATTCTAATTGGGGAGACAAACAACAATAAATAAAATCATTTTTAGCTGTGTGACTGTAGTCAAGGCATTTTAACTTTTCCAAACCTGATTTCTTATATTTAAAAGAGGAATAATAAAACATGATTACTATTAGGTTGTTTTGAAGAATAAATGAAGTAATTATAAATCATTTACACGTTGTTGTTAAGTGCCTTCAAGTCGGTTCTGATTCATAGCAACCTTGTATAGGATTTCTGAGGATCTAGGTAGGAGCAGCTGGTGGATTTGAACAGCTGACCTTGTAGTTAGCAGCCCAGTGCTTATCCCACAGCGCCACAGCTAGCAATTGTTATTAGGAGTCCCTGGGTGGCACAAATGAAAAGTTAGCTGTTTGAATCCACCCAGAGGTGTCTTGGGAAGAAAGGCCAGGTGGTATCCATCTGAAAGATCACAGTGAATGAAAACCCTATGGCTCACAGTTTTCTGAAATACAAGGGGGGCTGCCATCAGTTAGAACCAACTCAACAGCAACTGGGTTTTTTTTTTTTATTGTGGTGGGGGGGGAGCGATTTCCTTGTCAAGAACCTAATCCTCTTCCTGTGTTGTTCTTAGGTAATCCAGTACCAAACTGTTAGATATGATATCCTTCCTTTATCTCTCGTGTCCCGGAATCGGCTAGGTAAGCCTGTTTGTTGGGAAGACTCCTTTAAGGTGAGGAGGGTCCATGCTCTGGGCTGGTAATTGGTTGGTATTATCCCTTCCCTTTGTGATTCAGGCCAGGTGAAGAGGAAAATCCTGGTATTGGATCTGGATGAGACACTTATTCACTCCCACCATGATGGGGTTCTGAGGCCCACAGTTCGGCCTGGAACACCTCCTGACTTCATCCTCAAGGTTTGTGTGTTGTGGGGGTTGTCTGTTACTCTGCTCATAGGCAGACTCGCTTTCCTATCCCACAGTATTTCATCCTCATCCCCTGGAACCAGCATTAGCCTAAAGTTGGGAGGCAGGCAGGCGGGGGCAAGGTGGGGAGGGGAGGTGGGAGGAACCTTATAGAGCTGTGTTGTGGTGTTTAGGAATTCCCTTGCCCTTCTCTGTTCTGCTATAGGTGGTAATAGACAAACATCCAGTCCGATTTTTTGTACATAAGAGGCCTCATGTGGATTTCTTCTTAGAAGTGGTAAGTTTTAGGGACGCTAAAGGGAACTTTTATCCCAAACATTCTTTTGGAATAAAAGAATGGTTTTAAGGCTCTGGGAATTTAAGAAACTTGGAGTTAGTAAAGATGACGAGAAACGACTACGGTCAGCTTTGAAAGGGGGAGGTTATACAGGATGATAGAGGAATCGGCTTTCAGTGTTTGGGTATATTTGTTGTATTGATATAATTCTATTAATCCACAGGCATCTTGCTCTCTTGTCCTTGGACATCTAAATCTTAAGGATGTAGGATGCCTAAGTCACTAAATTTAGGGGTTTGGAGAGGGGTTCAGAATTTGTGTCTCCAGAGACATTTGATGTTGCCAGAAGGCATGAAGGATTAGGCCTGAGTTCTGGGGAAAGAGAACTATATGTGTAAATATACGATCACCTCTTTTCTCTGACCCCTTCTTTTCTCCTGATCTATTTTAGGTGAGCCAATGGTACGAGCTGGTGGTGTTCACAGCAAGCATGGAGATTTACGGCTCTGCTGTGGCAGACAAACTGGACAACAGCAGAAGCATTCTTAAGAGGAGATACTATAGACAGGTAAGAGGCTGGAATCCAGGTGTGAGAGAGATTTTGGGAGGTAGGCCACCAGGGAGAGACCTGGATTTGAGGCAGTTGCCTTGGACTGGGACCTTTTGGTGGCTTGGGGGAGGCTTATGCATAATCCCCTTTATGGGAGTTAGCCGTACATGGGTGGCAAACTAGAACTGGGGGAGCAGTCACCAAGGGCGAGTCTCCTTTTGATGCCCAGCCACCCTGCCTTCCAGCACTGCACTTTGGAGTTGGGCAGCTACATTAAGGACCTCTCTGTGGTCCACAGTGACCTCTCCAGCATTGTGATCCTGGATAACTCCCCAGGGGCTTACAGGAGCCATCCAGGTATGGGGGAAGGTGGTGAGTCTGCTAGAACCAGGAAATGGTTCTGAAGAGGTGGTGTGATTGCATGGAACTAGAAGTCGGGAGACCTTAAGTGGTCCTGGAGAGTAGAGATTCTCTAGTTTGCTTAGAGTCTGGGTAAAAGTTACATCTATTTCACATGAGTTCTACCCCCCCCCCCCATAGATACCCATTTTATAAATAATTTCTCAGATGAAATTTGTCTCAAGTGGGACACATGACAATAAATTGGAATAGAAACCTCACACTATCATGACATCTGGGCAATTTCAAAGTTATTTTGGAGAATAAATCCGAGATGTTTTGCTTAAGTTATTGAGTTGGGGGGCGTTGGGTATATATTTTTAATGATGACCTTTCACTCTCAATACATTGAAAAGTACCCTATCTCTCCTGTATCCTTTGCTTCTTCCCATCTACACTTTCACTTATGCTAGACAACGCCATCCCCATCAAGTCCTGGTTCAGTGATCCCAGTGACACGGCTCTTCTTAACCTGCTCCCCATGCTGGATGCCCTCAGGTAAGGAAAGTATGCTCTGAACACTTGGATTTCGGGAAGAAGGAAGTGGGAGTCCCAAGAAGGAATAAAAGTTTGTTTTTACTTACCTCTCTCCTTTAGAAGTGAGTATTTGAACCCAAGTCTTCTTACTCCTAAGTCTTGCTCTTAGCCAGTGGGTTTTGGGCAAACTGAATCTCAGTCTCATATAAGAAATGGTGATAATTTCTGCCCCATGAGGCTGTGTTACATGATTGTTGTGAGGGTTATAAACCATAAGACACTCTACCAATGCAAGTTGTTATCATCCCAGGTTCACCGCTGATGTTCGGTCTGTGCTGAGTCGAAACCTTCACCAACATAGGCTCTGGTGACAGCTGCTCCCCCTCCACCCATGTTGGGGTGGGGGGGAGAGGGATGGTGAGCCCTTGGGATGCCGTCTGATCCCGTCCAATGGTGAGGACTGCTTGGGCAGGATCTGCCCCTCTTACCCATCTCTGCCCTGGCAGCCACGCACTCCGCTTGGAGTCTGGATGGACACATGGGCCAGACTTTGAAGCAGCCTGACTCTAACTTCGTGTTCACACTCCCTGAAAACCCAGACTGGGATACAGGCGGAGGCATGGAAATGCTGAAACAATGTCTGTGGTGGAGAGGCCAGACTGACCAGATGGAAAGAAACACACACATGCGTACACACACACACACACACACACACACACACACACACACACACACACACACAGAGACGGTAATCCTGGAGGCTCAAAGAGAAGCCAAGACAGCTTTGTTGTGATTTGATTTTTTAAAAACTCTTGTACAAAACTGATCTAATTCTTCACTTCTGCTCCGAGGGCGGGGCTGTGGGTGGGAGACTGGGATTTTGGGCCACTGGATTTCCCCCAAACTTGTCCCCACTTCTTTATGTTTTTCTTTTTAGATTCCCTTAGACCTGTAACCAGCCAGCTTTCTGTCATTTTTTTCTTTCCTCACTTTTAAACCACGCATTATAATTTTGAAAACAAAGCTGCCCTAGGTCCTTCTCTGCGGTTTGGGTAAAGAATGGATGGACCCCGTGTCCCAGGCAGAAGGGCAGCAGTACTGCTGTTTAGCCCAAAGGGAAGGAAAGCAGAGGTTGGCTTTGGGGCAAATGATTATTAACTCCAGATGGTTTTGGCGGGAAGGATCTAGCAAGTGGAAAGACAACAGGGTACCCTGAGGGAACTCGGGCTTTACCACAGAATTTAGAAACTTGAAATGATGAGAAACCTAGATGCCCGAGAAGGGCATACGGCTGGAGGAAGTTGTGCTTCGACCTGGTGAATGACTGATAAGCAGGGTGCTGCACAAGAATTTCTTGTCCCTGAAGGAAGAACAAACGACCCTAGTCAGAACCTACTCCCAGCTCCAACCTCGCTGACTCCACCTCCTCAGCGCTGGGGCTGGACTACTGAAGCCGGCTCTACTTCGCTCACATGCCACGTGACGCTCCGCCTCTCGGTATCACATGATTCCTCCTGCACAAAGTGTTCTTCCGCGCTGACGTAGTCCCTGCTTTTCGGACCTCTCCAGTCTTCATTGGTGCATTCATTCCTGGAATCAGCCACCCATCTCCCCCCACCTCCCCCAACCCATATTTTACTTCTGCCCTTTATTTCTGGAGACAACCTCCACCACTTGGGTACTACTTTGTTTTGGTGTCAACCGTCGCCTTCAACGTACCAATACGTTTCATGAGTATTTCTCCTTGTAGTTATCTCTGTGTCAATTCCAAAGACTTTTTGGCGAACCAAAACTCAAAATTATGATTACAATCTTCTACCTCTTCTCATCCCCACATTGACGGGGGAATGTCAGGAAAAGCATTTTCAGTTATTTTCTACGGTGGCTAGAGCCAACCATCTTTGCTACGTCGCCTGCGTAGTCCACAAATTGATTCCAAGGGGATTAAGCTGATTGGGGGTTATGGGTGCGGCGAGTGGGTGGTGCTAAACCGGCTGCGTTAGGACTCCTGCGCTAGTGGCGTGTTCTAGCAAGTGGGGCGGCTCCTGATGACCGGGGGGGTGGGGTTGGTGAATAGGGAAGTGGCGCAAGTCCTGGGGATCGCTCCGCTGAATCCGCCCGCGAGTCGCCTCCGTCGTCGCCGCCCCCCTGTCCCCGGCCCCCCCGGGTTCCCTCGGTCTAGCCCAGTCCAGCCCGGTTCCCGGGAGAATGAAGTTCGTGTATAAAGAGGAGCATCCGTTCGAGAAACGCCGCTCTGAGGGCGAGAAGATCCGAAAGAAATACCCAGACCGGGTCCCGGTAAGGACAGTAGACAGGGCCGAGGGCGCGGACGCTGACGCCACTGCCTGGGCTTTGAGTCCCGGGCGGGCAACTCAGAGATCAGACTGCAGGTTGTGACGCTGTTGGGAGTAAACTGTCCCTAGGGTCGGAGGTAAAAGGATTAAGGTGGCAATAGATATGGGATGAGGGAATGTGGATGGGAGAGACTTCTCGGGATTGTGTGAGTTGTGTCTTTAGGGAGTTTGACAATCTGAGCTTCTCGTGATCATCCTATCTGCTAGCTAGGGTTTCGAGATTGAAACTAATTGACTCAGACATCCCAGTTTGAATGAGATCTCACGGTTGTTTATTATGGTGCTGTATTTATGGATTCCGGATGTTTAGGTGAACTGAAGTCAGTAGGGTCAGAATCTCTAGACTTGGTGCTGCATTGCGTGTGCAGAGACAAAGAAATGAATCTGGGGGAGGTTTGGGTGCTAGGAGTAATGCTGCTTGAGCTGTGAATCTTTATACCTAACATCTAATTTCATCTTTTATCAGGTGATAGTAGAAAAGGCTCCTAAAGCTCGGATAGGTGATCTAGACAAAAAGAAATATTTGGTGCCTTCTGATCTCACAGGTGGGAACCTAACCCAAGACCCATGTTTGCTCCCTGAGGGTGGGAGGCTCCCCATAAAAGCTGTGATTCCAAGAGCATTTGTGGCCTCTGTAACTTTTTTTGTACCTGTGTCTTTGGCAGTTGGTCAGTTCTACTTCTTAATCCGGAAGCGAATTCATCTCCGAGCTGAAGACGCCTTGTTTTTCTTTGTCAACAATGTTATTCCACCCACCAGTGCCACAATGGGTCAGCTATACCAGGTATGGTGAACCAGGAAGTAGTGGAAGCTTTGGGCAGAAGTTTTAGAAGAGCTTGAGAGGAAGAAAGTTTTAGGTTAGCAGTCTGGGCTTGCTCAGCAATCGTTTTTACCTTTATCCTTAAAAGTGCAAGATTGTCCTAGATTGAGAGATTTGGGCAGGACATTGGAAGTATAGGGAAGGAAAAGAACTGATGTAGAAGAACTTCTTTGATTGGGACTCGCTCTGGTCCCTCTCCCCATTCCAAAGCAGCAGAGAACAGTTTGAAATGTTTTTACTCAGGATTGCTACTAGGATTAATACTGCTCTGCTATTAGAATCTGCAGTCATCAGGAGACAGAGTCAAACGTTAGTTTTGGGGATCTTCCAAAAGGTTTTTGAAGAATGTTTTTGGGCCATGGGTGGTTCGAGTAATAGAAGCCCCAATTCCTGAACACCATCATTTGCTGCTTTTACCCCAGGAACACCATGAAGAAGACTTCTTTCTATACATTGCCTACAGTGATGAAAGTGTCTACGGCCTGTGAAGCGGCTGCCCCTAAGGTGGGGAGATCCCTTTCTACAAAGAGAAAAATGGCCCCCCTTTCTTGACCTACCCCTCCTTCTTCAGGCTCGAGCACCACCTCCCTTCTTCAGGACCTGCACTACTTCATGTTTGAGGCTTTCTCTCTAGCCCCTCCTAGCACCAGGGGTAGTAGAGATGGCCCCTAGTACCTCTTTTCTCTTTTCCTCCTTTTTCTGCCACCTTTCCCACTCTACTTCAAACTTTTTGATTGTCAATCTCACATCCAATGATTGTTTTGGTTTCTGTTCCCTTTGTAACTACCCAAGGGGCTTAGAAGCGAAACAATCCCTCTTACTACCTTCTATTTTGGGGGTAGATGGAAGGGACTAAAATTGTGTCTTGGGGGAAGGTAGGAGGCACTTCAATAAAGAAGAAAACACCAAGCTGAATTGATTTGTGTCTTGTGTTATGGCCTCACACCCCCCAATTAAAAAAATCCTTTTCCTTAGGTATCATGGGCTTCAGTGGTGGTGAAAAAGGAGGAATGGGAACAGACTGGAGGTCTAAAACTACGTGGTTTATTTTGTTGATATGTTTTTTCCTTCCTGCATAAAAATGGTGCTTTTATTCCACTATGTAATGGAAGGGAATACTTTAACATCTCATGAAACTTCAGTTTTATATACATGATGTATTGGGTCCTAATGTAAAAATTAGTTTTTGTTTTGTTTTGTGTTTTACTGTGGGTTCCTGTGAAGTAAATTTGAAAGCATCTGCTTTAGATAACCACAGCCCAGTTTGTTATATTTTCTGGATTACGGAAAAGAAGATGTTTGTGTGTAGGAAACCTTAGTCGTCAGTTGTATGTCACCTGGCCAGACTGCGGATATGTGGGATCCAGTGGAGTGGAATCTGGGAGGGAACTGACAGGGGTGGGGGGTAGGGGGGTGGGGGAGCCATTATCATCACCAGAACTTCAACTCCCAGCAATCTCTTCTTCGTCTGGCCGGAAATGAGGCTGTCCCTGTGGGGGAGGGGAAGGAGATACGAAATGAGGCAGTATGGTGGCCGAGAGTTCTAATCTTTTCCTTCGAGTTCTTGGTCCTGTTCAGCCTACATTTCCCAGGAGTCTGCGCGCTCTTTTCCGCTCTACCCTTTTGCTCATCGTCTCCCCGCCACCGTCACTACAGGGATGGGAGGGGCGGGGAAACAATGCGCCTGCGCCAGTCCGTGGTTTGCTGGGAACTGCAGTCCCTGATGTTTGTGCAACTCCCTTTCCGCTGCCTTAGAACAGACTACAAGTTCCTTGGTGCATTGCGCATCGGCCCGGCGAAGGGAGGGGGCCAAAGAAGGGGAGGGAAAGAAGAGGAGGAGGGAGCAGGCGGCCGGCGGCGCGGGGGGAGGGGTCCGGTCCGGGAGTGCGGGAGGCAGTGGTAGAGGGAGGTGGCGGCAGCGGTAACGGCTAGTGGGCTCGAATCACAACCAGACTGAGGAAGACAGCTTCGTGGAGCGAGGCAGTAGCAGCACCGAACACCGGAGGCGGCACCGGGATCCCCGGCTTAGGGGAGGGGGCCCCGGACCCGGAGGAGGGGAGGGGGCGATGCTGGAAGCCATGGCGGAACCCAGTCCCGAAGGTGAGCTCTCGACTGGCACAGATCGCCGAGCCGGCGGGGGTCGGGCGAGGAATCAATTGGCAAACTTGGAGGTCGAACCCTGGAGCCCAGTGGGGGAGAGCGGGAGGGAGCCGGGGGCCTGGCCTTGGGGTGAAGAGCGACGAGTTGAGACCTTGGAGAAAGAGGAGTGAAAGACTGGGATGGTTTGAGTTGGAGATCCAACGCGGTGTGTGTGGGGGGCAGATGGGGGTGGGAGCTGGAAACCTCGAGCCTCAGGGGCTAGGAGTCGAAAGGGCCTCCGGCAGCTTGGGGCTCCGGAGCTGGGAGGTTGGGGGAATCTGGGGGCCAAGAGTTGTTGGGCAGGGTGGTTGTGGAAGAGGGCTGAGTGAGGGGCGCGGTAGTTCGCCGAGGTGGGGGAGTTTGTTTGGTAGCTCCCAAGCTCCCGGTAGTTGCCGCCTGAGCTAGCCGGGTGATTGCTGGAGGGTTGGGCAGGTAGTTGGGGGGAGGGGGGGTCTGGGTATTGTCTGCGGAAAGGAGACCTGTACCGGGGGTAGTTGTGAAGAGGCTCGGGAAGCAAGGGTAGAGCCGGGTAGTTGCAAGGAGCGGTGGGGCCGGAGGGGGGGGTTTGAGACTCTAGAGTCGCGGGAGGGAGAATTAGTCGGTAAGGGTTAGAGCCTGGGAGTTGCAGGGGATGAGGGGGTCGGCAGCGGTGGGGGATTCTTTCAAGGAAGAGAGTCGCTGGTTGTGGCGGGGGTTAGAGTTTAGGGGTCCGTAGCCTAGTGAGTTGGTGAGTACGGGGGCGGAGGGAGGGCGGCCGGAGAGAGCTCGGAACAGGGCCCGGGGGCCCGGTGGGGAACCCAAGGCGCTCGAGACGGGGAGGGGCCAAGGCCCCGGATGGGGGCGGAGGGACGGCGAAATTGTGGGGAGCGCGGCATGGCGGGGGGGCAGCTGGGGCCGCGTCCGGGTTAGAGCTCGCTGGCCCGTCCCGGACGCGAAGTAGCGTTGAATTTGTGTGTTTGGGTGAGGGGCGCGCCGGGCCTCGTGCTCGAGTAGAAGGGGCCGGAGGGCGCGGAGCGGTTTAGCGTGGTCATCCCGGACCGCGGGGGCCGGCGGGTGGCATGTGAGGACCCAGAGAGCTCAGGGCGGTGGAGCGCGGCAGGGTAGGAACTCTGAGTGTGTAGTGAAGGACGGGGGCAGGCGAACGGGGCTCGGGCCGGAGAGCGGTATGGCGGGGTGGGGCATTAAGAGATCAGAGTAGACT